ATAACACAGCCACATTTCAGTTATAATACATTATATATGTATAACATTATTGTTATTTACAAACAAGTTCTTAAATTTCAGTTATTTTTCTTGAACCATAGAACAGTAAAGAAAGAAGTATAGAAAACAGTTATCTCTTCTAGTTACAAACTTTGTACTCATTTACTGCTTCGTGTAATTTGCTAAGCCTTACTAAATTTTGCATGTGGAGAATATACAAGAAAATAATTTTTTTAAGGTTTTACATATACATTTGGAAATAACCAAAAATCAAAAATTACTGTATCAATGTCACAGAATCCAGTATTATTTATCAGGCTTAGTAACTAAACTGTATTTGGGTCTAGAAACTTGGAATCTACCATAGAAAGAAAGGGTTTTCTGCATAAATACTTCACAGAGACTCAATTATACACACATCGTAGACAGAAGTAGGTGTACGTAAGCATTTCCAAAAATGGAAAGAAGTGGGCAGGGCCACTGTTTTATTCACTAAATGTAGCGATATTTCAGCAAGTAGAAAGGATGGAAGGTTTTTATTTTATATTCTAGCTCTAATTTGAGTTCCTAATTGATACGAATCTATGGACTTTATATATATTTTGACATTACAAACATCTAATCTTAAACAATGCTGCATTCAATATACCACGTGACACAAAAATTGATATTTAGGAATTTTATTTTAATATTTACTTTTAAATTAAGAATTTAACTAATGTATAATACTAAAACTTGGATTATAACCTCCAATTTAATACCAAACATATTCATAAAATAGTAATTCAATGAAATTTTGAATGTAAGTCTACAAATGCCTTTGACCTGTGAGCATAGGAAGATTTGTCTCGGTATGGTTAAACAGGTAGGTACTACATTTATATTTGTGGTTAAATAAGTACTTTCCCAGATTGTCTAGATTTCTCTAATTTCATTCTTTTTAGAGATTTCATTTTTTCAATCTTTGAAAAAAATATGAAGGAAATTTATTTGTTATGAAGAAGGTGGTGTTATCTTGCTGGGCTGTGATGTGTGATAGGTCTGTAGTTATACTTAGATATCTGTCACTAAGGTGCCTTTTTGAAAAAAATATTAATAGGTGTAGAATTTGTTTTGTCCTGTTCAGTTTTGTACAACAAATCTTGAATGTTGACATTTTATGCACATTGATATGGTATGTCCCAACAGACGAAGTTCAAAAATAAGATGTAATACATATAGTATTTTAAATATCTGGTCTGTCAGTTCACAATGATTCTAAGAAACAGTGATAAAGTTATTTTTATACCTGCACTTATCTGTCTGTATGCTCTGAATGTTTCTATTTGAACTAATGACCTGATTGTTCCAATATTAGATGAAAGAAGTTAATGTGTTTTGTCATACAAATGAAGTGCAGATAGCCCAGTATGTAGCTTTGCACTTTAAACTTCCTAACAAAAAAGTTGATAAGTAGAAATTTCATATTAATTCATTTTTTGAGCCATTTACTTTGATAACCTGTAAAATTTGTTTACTTGTTCTTGCTTATGTATGTTTTGTTTTTTATTGTAAGTAATCTCAAAGAACAAAGTTTTCTAAGTAGTACTGTTCAAAATGTGAACACCTACACCTGTATTTAAGTAGTACCTTGCAACTATTAATCTGCATATGTGGTTTTAGATAAATATGTCATGAAAATGTATAAAAATATTAAAACTTTGAAAGCAACATCAAAGGATTAATTTGAAGCTTCTTACTTGAGGACTTTAATTGTGATTGAAAACTTAGTGTGTTTCTTTTTTTTATTTATTCTCCTTTCCAGGCATCAAAAGGAACAGTAAGTGGATTTAGTGAAAAGTTCAAACCAGCAGTTGGAAGCTGGGAGTGTGATACCTGTTTAATAAGAAATAAAGCTGATTCATTGAGGTGTGTTGCTTGTGAAACACCTCGAGCATCAGAGATGAATGCCACAGGTACGTTTTTTCCACACATTTAGATAAGGCTTATAAATATAAAATGATAAAATAATTAACAAATAAGATTGTTAACATTATTTCAAAATCTTGCTTATCAGATATGTGACAGTGTTTGAGTAAAAGATGAAATCCTTTCCATTTAACTCCAGTAGTATCTGTACGGGTTTGGTAGATTTGACTGATCTTGCGACCACCATAAAAAATTAGGAAATGAATATAAATTATGCCTTCTTTGTTCTAGAATGAACACAACTTGTAACACAAAAACATAAATGATCAGACTAAATAGCTTAAATCTCATAACATTATACATTTATATATATATTTATTATTTTTATTATATTGACCTTTC